GCCAAGGCGTTGTTTAGCCGGGTCATAAAAACCGCCAAGGATGGAGATTCCACAACCTCTCTGGGTAACCTGTCCCAGGGTTTTACTACCCTTCTAGTGAGAAAATTCTTCCCCATATCTACCCTAAATTTCCCTTGATGCAACTGGAGACCACTGCTCCTTGTTCTGTCATCTGCCACCACTAAGAACAGTCTCGCTTTATCGTCTTTGGAACAACCCTTCAGGTAGTTGAAGGCTCTTATTAAATCCCCCCGCAGTCTTCTCTTCTCTAGACTAAATAAGCCTGGTTTCCTCAGCCTCTCCTCATAAGTCATGTACCCAAGCCCCCTAACCATTTTCATTGCTCTCTGCTGGACTCCCTCCAATTTGTCCATATCCTTTCTGTAGTGCGGGGGTGGGGCCCAAAAGTGGACACAGTACTCCAGATATGACTTCACCAGTGCAGAATCGAGGGAAATAATCACTTCCCTCAATCTGCTGGCAGCACTCTTACTAAAACAGTCCAATATGCCATTAGCCTTCTTGGTAGCAAGGGCACACTGCTGGCCCATGTTTGGCTTCTTGTCCACTGTAATTCCCAGGTTCTTTTCTGCAGACCTGCTGCTGCTTAGCCAGTCGGTCCCCAACCTGTACTGGTGCATGGCATTGTTCTAAGTGCAGGACTTTGCACTTATCCTTGTTGAACCTCATGAGATTCCTTTTGGCCCAATCCTCCAGTTTGTCCCGGTCACTGAATCCTAGCCCTACCCTCCAGCATATCTACTACTCCACCCAGCTTGGTGTCATCAGCAAACTTGCTGAGGGTGCACTCTATACTATCTTCCAGGTCGTTGATGAAGACATTGAACCAAACTGGCCCCAGGACCAACCCCTGGGGTGCTCCACTTGATACCAGCTGCCAACGAGACATTGAGCCATTGATTACTACTCTCTGAGCCCGATGCTCCAGCCAATTTTCTGTCCACCTTACAGTCCATTCATCCAGCCCATACTACCTTATCTTGCCTGTGAGAATTTTGTGGAAGACCATATCAAAAATCATGCTAAAATCAAAGTACACCTACCAATCCCCCCACATCCACAGAGCCAGTCATCTCATCATAGAAGGCAATCAGGTTGGTCAGGCACGAGTTGTCCCTGGTGAATCCATGCTGACTGTTCCTAATCATCTTTTTCTCCTCTAAGTGCTTAGAAATGGGTTCCTTGAGGATCTGCTCCATGATTTTTTTCTAGGGACTGAGGTGAGGCTGACTGGTCTGTAGTTCCCTGGATCCTCCTTTTTCTTTTTCTTGAATATGGGCACTATGTTTGCCCTTTTCCAATCATCCAGAACCTCTAAATTCCCTTCATTAAGAGCTGATTTTAAGATCAGCATATGGTATCCGTGCCAACAGTTCACGAATGTTATGAACTACCAGCCCACTGTCGACCCTCAACATTTCTCCTGGACCCACGGGACACTTTATAGTCAAACATGTCAGTGGAAAAGAGTAGAAGGGCCCAGTAAAATCTTCAGACTGCACTGTGTAAACCAGTGAAACAGGCCATCTATGGGAAAGACAGTAACAGTGGTTTACACAGTGTGGTCTGAATAGAGGGGAACAATCACTTGTGTCTTGTTTTAGGGAAAGGCTGTCCAACTGGCAGCCCAAAGACTGCATGCAGCCTATGAGGGATTAACATGCAGCCCTTGGACTCCCACCTGGCTGCTACTGTCCCCAGCACTGGCTGAAGCAGCAACTGGGGTCTCAGGCTCCCGCTCCCTCCTCAGCTTCCACTTCTACCAAGGGGATGAGGTGGGGTAATACTGCCAGCCCATGATGCCAGGAGAGCTGGTGGTCCAGAGTGCCCATGTGGAACGATGCAGCCTGGGAGGTTGTGGCCAGGGAGCTGAAGGCGAGGTGCAGTACCACATGCAGTGCAGCAGAGATGCGCCTGCCTGCATCCATGCGCATGGTGTGCAGTTTGGGCCCATGGCCTCAGCTAATGTGGCCTCTGCAGCATGTGGACCCTGCTGGTGCATCCTATAGGGCATGTAGCCTGCCGCTGCCCCTAGAAGATGGACAGGTCTGGATTAAGGTAACAAATACCTCTGTAGCCCCCAGTTTGAACACCTTGGATGCATCACTAATAACCTCCAACCCCTCCTGGAAAATGATGACCACCTCATCACTGACCTCAGAGTAGCTGTTCTTAAACAGCAAAACTTTAAAGATGAACTGGAATGGGAACTAGCAGAACAAGACATCATTCACAGACTGGATTGTGTTAAGCACTGTCTGAACAAGGATTATGGAATTTATCCCAATTCTTGGATTAGCTTTTGTGACCCCTTTGTCCTTATGGGTTTATAGCTTGTTTGCCTCTCCCACTCTCCCAGCACTGCTCCCACCTCCCCACCCCCATCCTTTGTATTCAAATCAATTTCTCCATTTGGTAGGCTGCTCCATGCATGCCCTTTCACAGCATCTGATGAAGTGAGCTTGGGCACAGGAAAGCTTATGCTACAGATCTCTGTAGCCTACCCTGCCTTCTGCCTGACTTCAGACTAACATAGCTAACTACTCTCATCTTAAGGTAGCCATGGGAGACCAACCTGTTCTGGCTTCCAGACATCTCCCCAACCTCAAATGCTGTCTTTCAAGCAACAGATTACTTAAGCTCTACTCTGAGGCACCACTCCTTTCAGCAGACACAGATTCAAGCTCTGCACCCTCATCAATGCAGATCACATCCTCACTGGACCAAATAATATGGATTATAACATCCAAGGTTAATTCAGCTGCACCTCTATTAAGATTACCACTTAGCTACAGTGCCTCTTTGCTACTACATTGAACAGGCAGGGCAATTCCTACATGAAAGAATGCGGGAACGCTGATTTGATGTCAAGTCCAAAAACACACAAAAGCCTTTGGTAGAACACTTTAACCTTTCTGCACCTTCTGTCCCTGACTCATCTTCATGCATCTCTTGCTCATGAAAACTTATACATCTCTGATTCACTTGGTCAATAAGGTGCACCTTTACCCTGCCATCTTCATGTTTTGCCTGGAGTCCTACCTAGTCCCATCAACATGCTTCACAGCTTCTTATAACTACCTTACACAAAGGGCAGCTCTTTCACTCCCAAGATTTCAATAATATTGAATTCAAACTATAATACTGGTATTATAATAGCATTCATAAGCTCAAAAAGCATCTCAGCTCCATAGGGGCTTGTACAGAGTCAGTGGTAAGAGAGACCTGAACAAATTTTAATCTAACGAAAAGTAATGTTTGAATGTTACATAGTAGCTATGTAAATTCAAAGGCAAAATTTACATAAATGTATTTGTCCTACAAATGCTAAGGGCAAGAATCAGGTGACACATTATCTTCCATACAGAAAGATCACTGAGTTTATTAGGAACATTTACATGGAATTAAAAATAATTTGGTGAAAACAATTGTATTAAACAAATAAACATTCCTTTGTAATGTTTGCAACCCAAACACTGTAGCATTATGCAAGCACATGGTACACAAACACCTATTTCCACCCCTGGTTGTCCATAAATTTGCATTATTATGCAAATCTCTTTATTTAAGATTGCAACCCTGTGCCCTTTGCAAACTTAAAGCAATTCAGATTGTAAATGGGGCTGCTGCCTGATGATGCATATTGCTGACAACACTGCCCTCTGTGCCAGTAGCTTAACGGAGGGGAAACAACCAGGGCAGCAGCCCTGGGGAACTGCCTTTGCAGCTGGTTGCGCTGTCCCATGCAGAGCCGTTGCCCTGTTCTATGTTTTCAGTCTGCTCAGATACTGGATTGAAGTCCACTCTGAAACCTGTTTCCTGATATTCAAGGCCCTCATCAGACTGACCCTGATGGACCAATTCCCCCTCTGCAGGCTGAGCATTGCCACCTGCAAACATTCAAAAACCACGTCATGTCCCATCCCCCTCACCAGATTGATTCAAGAACAGTAAATATTTTAAAAATTCAAAACTCTTGACTTGCCTTCCAGTTTCTAAGCCCTTCTAGGCCTGCCGGCAAGCCTTCCTCATAGCCACAAAGGCTGGGAACGTCTGGTTTTAAAGGAAAGCTGAAACTCCTGCTTACTCCTAAGACTCCAGGAGCAGAGGCTTGAGAAAAACAGGCACAAGGGCCTGTCAAGGAAAGCTGAAGTGCAATAAAGCTCATCTCTGGGCAGGCCTATTTGGCACCTTTTAATCATGTGGGCCCAGCCCGCCAAGTTTCTCATTGGCCTCTCTCAGGCAAGGAAGCTACAGGAAAAGGGAACATTTTGGGACAAATAATAAAAAAACAGCGATAGATGTGGGCAGCTTATCTGTCCACTGCTAAAAAATGTGTGGGCCCAGCCCACCAAGTCACTCATTGGCTTCCCTTAGGCAGGGAGCCCACAGGAACAGGGGACAACAGATTTCTCTGGACCAATAATAAAAAGCAGGGATGGGAGCGTGGTCAGAGGTTGAAAACAAGCGTGTGAAGTAGGGACACTGAGCTGAGTACGCTGGACAGCCACCACCGGCCCTCAAATGAGTCCCAGGATACTCTGTCAGTGCTACTGTGCTTGGAGACGGAAGTGCTGTAGGGTGAGGGTAAGCAGGGCCGCAGTCCCCAAGACCCTGCTGGCCAGAGCCTCCTTCCCCCCCCATCAGGCACAGGGCAGCAGGCCAGGGCCAGGAGGAGGTTGACCAGAAGGTGGGGGCCAGGGCTGGCCAGCGTGTGAATGAAGCAGTGTGGGGACCGGCTAGCCAGGAGACTGGGCTGGATGAACCCTGAGAAGAAAACCAGTTCACCCAGGCACTGGGCAAAGCCCCACACGAGGCGGTGCGACTGACGCATCGAGAAACCAAAAACGCGCGGGGAACCAGGGACTCAGCCCCACGTGCCTTGCACGTGGTACCGGTGTGCTCATGCGCGGCTGTCTGGCTGTGAGCTGTGCGGGAAGGAATGTGGGAGGGGCGATGCGGACGGCCGCGTTTCGCCTTCCGTGGTTTGAGCTTCCGCGCTCGCCGTAGTCAACTGACACGACCCGGAAGTGTCCTGTGGCGGTGCTGAGGGGCTCGGGCGCAGTGATGGCTCCGGACCCCTGGTGAGCGGCGCCCGCCGAGGGGACCGGCTGCTCGTCCGGCCCCGGCTGCGGAGGACACTGTTGTGGAGGCGAGCGCGGCTAGGGGTTTCCCCTGCAGACGCCGCGGGCAGCACGGGGCCGAGCCCCCAGGGCCGCTCAGTGGGCGTATGGGGCTGTGAAAGGGAAGGCGAAGTCCCCGACCCCCCTCTCCTCCCTGCTCCCGCGCCCCCTCGTAGGCGAAGCGGAGTCCTGCGCGGACCCCCGGCCCCCCCAGAGCGAAGGAAGGATACACCCCTGAGGGGCCAGGGGGCTTCCTAGAGCCGCACGTGGGTGCCCGAGGCGGAGGTCAGGGTTAGGTGCCGGTGCTCGTGTCAAGCGCTTACGCAGCCCGTGGGTCTGAAGCGGTTTCCAACTGTGACCCCCGTTTGCCCCTTGGAGATGGGTGCGTTTGAAATCCAGGCGACCCCCACTTAACGCTGTTTCACTTAGTGCTATTTCACTATAACGCTCATTTAAAATTGATCCCTGATTTCACTTAGCGCTTGGCAAGTTTCATTACAACGCTTGCAGTTGCCGTCTTGGGTCATTAAAAACACTTGTCGCTGTTTTGGATAGTCATATACTTTTGGTTTAGCTTAACACTCTTTTTTGGGAACCAAATTAAGAGCAGTAAGCGGGGGTTGCCCGCACCTGCTTCCATCCTGGGCAGAAGTTCCCAAACTGGTACGTGGATCCCTAAGGAGATGCAAGATGTCTCTGGGGGTACACGGGAGAAATTGTGTAATGGCAGATTTAATTTTCAGTATAACAATTGGCGTTTAAGGGGTTGAAAATGGAAAATGTTGGTAAAACTGGAAGGGAACATGCAATAAGAAAGTTTGGGAACCTCTGCTGGAGAGAAGTAGCTGTTACCTCTGTTTTATTCCAGGCCATGTTAAGTTTTCCTGTTTTGGTTATCAGAAGTCTCGTGCACTGTCTGTTGCTGGTTCCTCTCCTGTTTAAGGAACTTATTGAGGAATCTTTTTAAGACTGGCGTACTTTTGGCATCGTGCTCGTGCTTACGAGCTATTTATAATTGGCCAGTTTGTCCATTGGAAAGTACTGATATTACCAGTGTGTAGAAAAGAAACAACATAAACCAGGAAATAAACATTTGAGATGAATTAAATTAACTACAAAGCTGCCTTGAGTAATTCCCCTTCATGCTTAATCCTTTTGGCTTGCCCCATCTACCCTTTTTCTTTCCCCCTTTGCTTCACTTCCAAGGTAGGGTTTGATGCCTCATTCATATGATTGTTAGATACAAAATGCATCCTATCGGAGACTGGGTTAGCCCTACATGGAAATCATTTCTTAACTGTTGTTGTTTTCTTCTTATCTCTGCTGATTTAACAGTAAAAGATCATCTAGTTAGTCCTAGTGCATCACACTTATGTTAAGATTATGCTGTAATAGGAAAAAGTAACTCAAAGCTGTTATTAGTGATATATAAACTAAATAATAACTTAAAATTGTTTTTTGTGATTATTAAAAAATGCAAGCTAGTACTGTAAATAAAAGCCAGGTACCACAATTACTTTGTTTGATATCTTTTGATTTACTTCTGAGCCATCACTAGGCTGGTTGTAAATAGTCTAAGGAAGAATGGGAATTTTTGTGTGTACCTGGTATAATGGGAGGTATAATGGGAGCTGCCCTTGTCTTTACTGTAGGAAAGTCTCTTCAGAAATATGTGTCCCTCTGCAAGATGCTCCAATTTGATCTAAACAAAGATTATTGCCAATCTTCTTTGTTGTTCTCATTCTTCTTAGAAGTGGCTAAGGGCACTTGGTTGAGCACTTTTGAGGTCTCTGATTTATGTGTGGTGTAACTTGTGGCTGACTCTAGAGGACCAGAAACATAGATGTAATGTTGATTTAAAATCAGGGGTCTCAAACATGTGCCCATAGGTAGGATCCAGCCTACTGAACTACTTGTGGGCATCTGGAAGTTGTAGGGAGTGGCCTGAGAGAGTGGCCTGCCACAGAATCTGGGCCCTTGGGCCCCAGTAGACATAACAATTGGTGGCAGAAAAGCAAGTGAGGGCTGATACAGTCCTGGCTGCCCTCTGCCTGCTTCACCCATGACCTTAACTCCTCATCTGCTGGCTTCAGCACCTCCCCATGCTGTGGCTACTCCAGTGATTCTGAAAGCTGGCAGTGACATTTGCAAGAAACGTTACTATTGATGCCTTTAATTTTAGAAGTGAAACTGCTATGTGTTTGGCTGCTTTGTTTTTAGTGTCTCAAACCTTAAACACTTTCTGAAAAGGAAAATCTATCCAAAGCCCAGTCTTGACTAACAGAACAGAGATTGAAACCAGGAACTCTGGCAGTGGTTGTCACTTGGAGAACTTTTCTTAAATTTGAATCTTTTTTACTTTTAGGCTGTTGATGTATGATTCCACTTGTCACATTGCACAAGAGATCGCTGAAAAGATCCAGGAACGTAACCGTTGTCAAAGAAATGGGGAAAGTTCATCAAAGGTACCATACCTTCATGAAAGATGTAATGTTTGTGAATTTTTCTTTCAGCTTAAATTTTGCATTTCATTATAAATTAATGCAATATTAAAACTTTAGCTTTGTTCAGGAAGTTGAAGCTTGCTGTAGCAGGTTCATTATCTTAAATTCAAGACTGAATGCAAAATTGTAAGATGTTTTAGCTAAATAAGGTAACCCAATGCAGAGGTAACTGAATGAAATTCTATGACTTGGATTTTGCAGACGGTCAGATTAGAGATCTAATGGTTTATCTGACTTTCAAATATATGAATCTTAAGCAATGTTGCAATAACTATTTCATTATGATAGGCATGTAATTAAAAAAAATGTTTAAGGTTTATACAATGAAAATCAGAATAGAGCTTCTACTTACCTTGTATTTAATATCACTGTGTTTTAAAAAAATCATTAAAATTGATAAATCCTTAGTGTGGTGCATGTCAGACATTCTGAATCACTTGAGGCTGTCATCAGATTTACTCTGCTGTAAGAAAGCTCTTGGATGAAGTTATCAGAACAATGGAATAGCATGTGTTCTGGTGCACACACCTAAGTTTTAAAGTATAGAATCTTTTTTTTCCCCAAGCTTTTCAGTTTCTAGATTCAGTCAATCTACATGTGATCTGTTACAATACATGTGCCCTTAATACTTATTCAGATCCTCTCTCTGTTGTCACTCATGAGGGATAGCTTTCATTGGGGACACTAAATACCTCTCTAGCCAGGTGATTTCACAGTTTGTAAAAATTATTTCAGAAATCTTAATCTATGGCATTTGGGTGATGACCAGTATTACTATTTCTAATAAAATGAAACATATTTAATTTTTTTTCATATTCTCCATTCTCACTAATTCTTAGCCAAGTTCATAGCTTTGTGTATTTTTCATAGCTATGCAGGAAGTTGGTTTTTTAAGAACAATGCTAACAGAATTGACTTGGGAATCTCCTCCTAAATCCAGCTGTAACATTTATTTTAGAAAGGGTTCTTGGGTAAAATGACTAACTTTTGGGGTGGAAAATCTGGGACTCCACATATAGCATAAATTTCCAGAGCTGAAAAAATGTTTACTTTTGGTTCCAGTTTATTGCAGTGTATGTGCTATTATGTGGCAGACAGGCTAGTTAGCTCTGACTCTTGGCTAATTGTAATTAAGCCCAGTTTTGGAACAAAAAAAATTTGGAATTATCAGCCTGACGCTCCACTGAATTGCAGAAATGATTTACTTTTACAGATTTAGTGTGGCTGTACAGGCAGACAAAGTAAGAACTCTTATGTATTAAATCATCAGTATTTAGAGAAGGCAAAGAGTATTGCCTCATTTACTGCAATGTCCTGTTTAAAAAAAATAAAATAAAATGGGCTGTATAATTATTGTCTGATAACCTCTCTTGTAGTGTAAGCTTTGTAGCTTGTGTGTAATGAAAACATTATATAGTTGACCTAAGTGATTCTATGAAGAAATTTTTCCATGTTTTGTGTTTTAATAGGGTAAGAGGAATTTGCTCTTGGAACAGTTTAAAGAGAAGTATTTGGCTGTGTTTGATTCTATTATAAACACAGTTCCAACAATGAAATATTTGTTGTCATAACAGGCACTCATGTTGAGAAATCTGCGGCTGAGCAACCACATTTTCTATGGCTAGTGAAAGTTTTACAGAAAAAATGTCTTTGCCTGGTAGGGAAAATGTCAACACAACTTTGTATTTATAGTATTTTACCACTAGAAATCTCATAGTATCATAGTGCTTAGGGTCAGAAGGGACCTCAACAGATCATCAGGTTTGACCCCCTGCTCCGGGCAGGAATGGGTGCCGGGGTCATATCACCCCAGCCAAATATCTGTCCAGCCTCCTCTTGAAGACCCCTAAGGTAGGAGAGAGCACCACTTCCCTTGGGAGCCCATTCTAGAGCCTGACAGCCCTAACTGTAAAGTAATGTCTCCTGATGTCTAGCCTGAACCTTCTCTCTAACAATTTGTGCCTGTTATTCCTAGTAACTATGGGTGGTGCCTGGAGGAACAGAGCCTTCCCCAGTTCCCGCTGGTCCCCCCTGGTCAGTTTGTAAATGGCCACCAGATCCCCTTTCAGCCTCCTCTTGTGGAGGCTGAATAGGTATGGGCCCTTTAGCTCTCTTTGTAGGGCCTGCCCTGCTGCCCCTGGACCATGTGAGTGGCCCTCCTCTGGACCCTCTCAATGCTAGCCACATCCCACTTGAAGTGCGGTGCCCAGAATTGGACACAGTACTCTAACTGTGGCCTGACCAATGCCACATAGGGGGGAAGAATCACCTCCCTGGACCTGCTTGTGCTGCATCTGTAGATGCACGACAAGATGCAGTTAGCCTTACTGACCGCTTCCTCGCATTGGCAGCTCATGTTTATTCTGGAGTACACCTTGCTGGGGTCGTATGACCCTAGTACTCTTCCCTACCGTGGCAGGGGGTTGGACTAGATGATCTACTCAGGTCCCTTCTGACCCTAGAAACTATGAAATGATGACCCTGGCAAAGTGTTCATCCAGCCTCCTCTTAAAGACTCCCAGGGTAGGAGCCAGTACCACTTCTCTTGGAAGTTGGTTCCAGATCCTAGCCACCCTGACCGTGAAGTAGTGCCTCCTGATCTCTAGCCTGAATCTACCCAGCTTGTGACCGTTATTCCTAGTCAGTCGTGGTAGTGCTTGGGGGAACAGGGACTCCCCCAATGCCTGCTGGTCCCCTCTGACTAGTTTGTAACAGGCCACTAGATCCCCCCTCAGCCTTCTCTTGTGGAGGCTGAACAGGTTCAG